AGGAAGGGGAGAAGCTGGTGGAGAAGGAGGAGGAGGAGGAGAAGGGAGAAGATGGTGGAGAAGGAGGAGGGGGAGAAGCTGGTGGAGAAGGAGAAAGGGGAGAAAGGAGAAGCTGGTGGAGAAGAAGAAGGGGAGAAGCAGGAGAAGAAGGGAGCTGGTGGAGGAGGAGGGGCAGAAGGGAGCTGGTGGAGGAGGTGGGGGAGAAGGGAGAAGCTGGGGGAGAAGCTGGTGGAGAAGGACGAGGGGGAGAAGCTGGTGGAGAAGGAGGAAGGGGAGAAAGGAGAAGCTGGTGCAGAAGGAGGAGGGGAAGAAGCTGGTGGAAAAGGAGGAAGAGGAGAAGGGAGTAGGTGGTGGAGAAGGAGGAGGGGAGAAGCTGGTGGAGAAAGAGGAGGGGGAGAAGCTGGTGGAGAAGGAGGAAGAGAAAAAGCTGGTGGAGAAGTAGGAAGGGGAGAAGTAGGGAGAGAAGGGAGCTAGTGGAGGAAGAGGGGGAGAAGGGAGAAGCTGGTGGAGAAGGAGGAAGGAGAGAAAGAAGAAGCGTGCTGCGGCAGCATTTCATTGATGTACAGGGGGGCTGGATTGGCAGATTCTCCCTTCACCCCTTCCTCCTCCACCAGCTTCTCCCTTCTTCCCTTCCTCCTCCACCAGCTTTTTCCTTCTCCCCTTCCTCCTACTCTACCACTTTCTCCTTTCTCCCCTTCCTCCTCCACCAGCTTCTTCCTTCTCCCCTTCCTCCTTCTCCATCAGCTTCTCCCCCTCCTCCTCCACCAGCTCCATTCTTTCCCTTCTTCTCCACCAGCTTTTCCCCTCCTCTTTCTCCACCAGCTTCACCCTTCTCACCCTCCTCCTTCTCCACCAGCTTCTCCCCTCCTCCTTCTCTACCACCTTCTCCCTTCTCCCCTTCCTCCTTCTCCACCAGCTTCTCGCCCTTTTCCTTCTCCATCAGCTTCTCCCTTCTCTCCCTTCTCCTTCTCCACCAGCTGGTGTCTTAGCTGAAGTGGAAATCGCCATATTTGAGAAATAATTTATTTCGCGCATGAAGTCGCACATTTCTGTTCCATAATTGCCGTCGCGTCCTGTTTTTTATTCCTTCTTCAACTACGACGTCGCCCTTGTCAAACACGACGTCGCGCATTCTCAAACGCGACATCGCACATTTTCAAATGCGACGTCGCCCTTTTTCAAACACGACGTCGCTCTTTTTCAAACGCGACGTCGCCCTCTTCAAACGCGACGTCGCCCTTTTTTAACCGTCTTCCATAAATGCCATCGCGCGGCGTGCGGCCCATCTAATTTCGACCACTTTTTGAGAGCAGTTTCACGCTCGCTCGCATAATAATAATTGCCTCATATAATTGCTCGCATATAATTGCCTCATTCTTCTGATTGTGTTTTTGCTTTTGCGCCTTATACTACGCTTACTTGTCCGTTTCGTGCGCGTGTGACGATGTGTGTTGCGACTCTCTCTCGCGCTCTTTCTCTCTCTCTCTCTCTCTCTCTCTCTCTCTCTCTCTCTCTCTCTCTCTCTCTCTCTCTCTCTCTCTCTCT